AATACTTCCTACTTCATAGGGTTATAAGAGATTGATGATGGGACTTCAAAAAGTTCATGGAAGATAGAAACAGTTTTTTGGGGGCTCGGTTTCCTCCTAATACCCAATTTCCATGAACTTTCTGAGGACGCCAGCTTTGTAAAAGGCTCAGAAAAGCGCTGGCATATCTGCAGGGCTGGTGGTGGTGGTGGTGGTGGTGGTGGGGTCTTTTCTGTTGCCTGTGGCTCGGCGTGTTCTGTGTAATGCCCCGCACCCACGCGCGCGCGCACACGCACACACCACACACACACACACACACATACACACTCACGCGCGCGCGCACAGTTGCTCGCCTGAGTCCTGCTACAGCCCTCGCGCCCCTCCGCAGGAGCGCAGCACGGGGGAGCGGAGCCGGCGCCTCCCCCCAGCCCATCCACTCGGCTGATGGCACTAAGTGATTCAGGGCGCCGCGCTCCCGGGTGGCGCCGACCTGTGGGACCCGGAGGCCGCCAGAGCCGCGCTCATGCAGCTCTTAGCAGTCTGGGCACAGAGCGCCTCATTAGGGGCGGGCAACCGGGGGGTCGGTGCGCCCCGCGCTGCGCCGCCCAATTTGTGCTTGACCCGGGTCGCTGTGCTACCGACCCGTGGGGTCCCTGAGGCCCACGACGTTTCCTTTCCTTGTGACTTTCACATCTGAGCCCATCGCCCACGGGTTCCCCTTTGTCTGGTTGCTCAAGGGAAGGATGTGAAGATGCGGACAAGTGCCTAAGTCTTCCTCAGTTCAGCGGAGTAGGGGTGGGGGGGGGACACGGCCCAAGGGCGGGAGCCATTGTCCCCAGAGATGCCCCAGGCCGATCACCAGGACCTGGAGCTGGCTCAAGAAGTCCCCAGAAGAGAAGCCCCCTGCCTGACCATTGAAGAGGCTTTTACTGTAGAAGAGTTGGAAAAAAATTATTTCCTACTTATTTTTTTAAATTAAGGTTGTTTTTGCAAGTAGGAATTTTTGTGAGGTCTTTTCATTTCTGATTTCTTTTCAGCTTAATGTAACTCCCTCTAGAGATCTGTAAATATTCAAAGCTAGCTCTCTGCCCCCATCTGATTTTATTCCATTTATTATTTATTTATTAGTTTTTTTCTTTATTCATGATAGAGTACATGGGTGTGCATGAGCATGAGAGAGTGAGACAGGCGTACCCTCCGTGGGTGCTCTGTCACACTGTAACCCCTTCCTCCAGTCCGTCAGATCTTGGGGACTCACACCCATGCCCCGGGGGTTTCAGGCTGACCAGGGCCAGGGGTTTGGATCTGGCTCCTTTTGAGTAGTGCCCCTACTTATTTATTTATTTTATTTTATTTTATATATTTTTTGAGGGACTTTTGCTATAGGGTGCACGTGCTCACTGGAGACGCAGAGATAGGGAGGGAGGAAAAGTGAGAAATCAACCTCCAGGGGAGACGGCCAAGCCACAGTTCCTTCTCTGCCATTCTCTTGGGATTTTGGGCATACATGTACATGTGCCTGGTGTGATTTTGAAACCTCCTGGTTTGGGACTCAAACTATGGTTAACCTGTGGGAGTCTAGCACCTTAACCACTAGGCCACCTGCTGGCCCCTATTTATGATTTTTTAGATATTTATTGGTTCCATGAGAGAAAGAGAAAGATGTACTACCTGTGACAGAGACTCAACACCATGTTCCACTCCCAGCCTCCACCAGCCCCAAATCGTGGCATGCATGTGCCTGGCAGTGTTCTCAAGAAAGTCCCCAGATGTGAACTGGAAACCTTCCCATGTGGGTCAGCCTCGGCCACACCACTATCCTGACACGATTTTATTCTATTTAGCTTTTTATTTTTTTATTTGAGAGGTTTTTGCTACAGGGCACGTGTGCTCACCAGAGAGACAGAAAGACAGAAAGCTAGAAATCACCCCCCAGGAGGGATGGCCATGCCACAATCCCTTCTCCTCCATTCTCCTCTCGGGATCTTGGGCATGCATGCACACGCACCCGATGTGAGTTTTTAAGCCACCGGATCTGGGACTTGAACTGTGGCTGACTACGTGGGAGTTCAGCGACATAGCCATTACGCTAACTGCTGGCCCCTCTATTTAGATTTTCAACCCATCTGGGATATGCTTTGGCATTAGATGTGGTCTGGAGAAAAGTGAAGCCTTTCCTGTCTTCTTCACACACCCCTATGGATCCATTTCAGGTCCACACCTGTCAGCCTCAGGCCCAGCTCTGACTCTGGGGAACACGAGCAGTTCAGAGATGGAAGGATCACCTTCATATACCTCATGGCTTAGCTCGGGAGGGCAGAACTGCGGTCTAACCGGTGATACCAACCTAAGTATCATGGCATGAAGGTATCAAGAGAAGAGCGGATGGAAGTGTACGTGGTGGGTGGTGGCAGGGACCAGGGAAGGGCTACCTCCTTCCTTGTTTAAGGACCTGTGAATCCAGACCATGAGTTGAGGTGTGGGGGTGTAACAATGGAGATGTGGAAGAGTTTTAGAAAGAGACTTATGTAGGAAGTGTAGATGGGGGGGCTCCATGTGACATTGGGGTGATTTTTTTGTGTGTTTTGTTTTGTTTTCCATAGAGTGCATGCGCTCGCTGGAGAGACAGAGAAAGACAGTGAGAGAGACAGTGAGAAATCACCCTTCAAGGGGGGAATGGCCAGGCCACAATCCCTTCTCCTCCTGGGATTTTGAGCACACACACGCACGCCCGGTATGAGTTTCAAGCCACTGGATCTGGAGGTGGAACTGCGGTCGGCCATGTGGGAATCCAACACCTTAACCACTACGCCATCTGCTGGCCCCTGGGAGTGATGTACTTGAAACGCAGCCCTCAGAGCTTAATAGAGCCTTTTTTCACCAGTGGAGGGTCTGTGAGGGTACTGGGGGAAGTGGCCCTCTGGCATCATGCAGAGGTGGGGCCTGGAGTCTTCAACAGGTCATGGTGTGGGAGGAACTTTGTAGAATGACAGTCCTGGTAGACATGGGTGTCCTGGCCTGTCCCAAGGCTTCAGCCCTTCACTTAGTCTAGCCTCATCAGTTTCCAGATGGGAACTCAGGCCCAAAGTGCAGAAAGGGTTAAGGTGCTGGGCTGAGGCCACACTGCAGGCCTAAGCTGGGCCTCTGGCCTCCCCAGTCAGCCTGCCTCACAGCCCACAGAGCCTTAGGAGGGAATCAGCTTTAGACCAGACTTGTTTCCAGCCAGGAGTGGAATGAAGACATTCTTCCAGGGCTGGCCCCATAGTGCAGCAATTAGGTGCTGTGCAAAGGGAGCCAGATCCCACATGGCTGACCCAGGTTTGTTTGTTTTTTTAACCAAAAACTCTAATGGGATGGAAAAATGGAAGAAAAGGGATTGCAGGGTGACCATGCCCCATTGGGTAGTGCTTTTTCTCTTTGGCAAGTCTAAGTGCCCTCTGGCAATGAAAAAAATAAACAGTATTCTCCCTGGAATCTGCTCTCTCTAGAAAGTCTCATCAGCTCTTATTCATTAATACTCCTACTCCTACTGCTTAACTTTACGATGGTGCGGGCCCTTTCCTAAAGCGTTCATATATTAAATGATTTCGGTCCTCACAACAACCCTATGAGGTGGGTACTATCGTCTGCCCACTTTACTTTGGAGGCAGATGAGGCTCAGAGGGACCCCCAGCCCGCCTTAGGCTGGTGTTCCTGGGACGACTGCCCAGCACTGTTTCGTCAAGTGTCCCCACGGGCCCTAAGGGCTCATTCCTGAGACACCTGCATCTGAACTGAAGTGTGGGAGACCCCTCCCTGGGACGGATACCTCATTGCCCTTGATGGGGATGGGGCCACTGTGTTCCCTGGGGCTTCCTCGCAGCACCTGGGGTACCTGAAGAGGGGCCAAGACCTAGGGGTGCTGAGAGAGCTGGCAGCTGTATACACAGCTGGAGGGGCATGGAGTGGCCAGCCCTGGGTCCAAGACTGGAGGGACACTTGGGTGGCTGGGGAGAGGGAGGCTGTGACCCCTTTAAGTCTGTCTGCCTGGGGTCAAGCTTGTGCTGAGTCCATTTGGCCATGGCTCCTTCCCACCCTCTTCCCTGAGCCCGTGACTCATGCTCCCTCCCCAGGCCTGAGATCTACCTGCTCTGGTTCCCCCAGACTAGGGTCGGGGTGGGGGGGAGGCGTAGGAACTGGGCCAGGTGGCTGCCTCACCTCTGAACCTCACTGCGTCTGGATTTCTGGTTCCTCTACCGTAGATTCCTACTCTACAGTAGATACCTACACGGTGCTCCTGCCTGAGGAGGGGGTGACAGGGAGCATGCCAAGAAGCTGTCCCCAGGACCCCCAATTTCAGAACCTGTGTTCCTCTACCTGGCTCAGTGGGAGGGGGTGGGAACTTCCTGAGCTTTCCCTGGAAGCCTGCAGCACCTCCACGCTGGGAACAGTCCTCTCTGATTCCCTGTCAGTCCCCTGACCCATGAGGCTGCAGCCAGGCACCACCTTTCCTGGCCTGGCCAGTACAGAGCCCTCTGTCCCCACCCCTGGGTGTGTGCTGACATTGGTCACCTGTCCTGTCACAGCGAACTCTCCTGATTGGGTCCCCACACAGCTGGCTCTCTCCTGCCCCCTGTTCTGCGAACACACCAGCTTTTCGTGCCCTCTGTCCCCTTTCTGCACCTGTTAGGGGGCTGTGTCTGGGGTACTGGCTGTTGACCCAAGCCTCCTCTAGGCAGCCAGAAAGTTGGAAGACAGTCTCCAGGTGACACTATCTGTCCCTCTCGAGTGCAGAAATCAGTGGTGGCAGTTCCTGTCAAACCATGGCCAGTGACAGCCCTGCGGTCTGCATCCCTCCCCCACCACCCCCTGCACAGAAAGGCCCACGTGCGTCCCAAGACACTTGAATCACTGCTGACGGTTGGGACCTGGTGGCGGTGGGCTCCTGGGGAGCCACTGGGTGGCAGCCACGTTGCCTCCGAGGGAACACCTGCGGACATAAATAGGCAGCCAGCCAGGCAGCACGCAGAGCGGCTGAGCAGCACTGCACGCCTGCCCACCTGCGTGTGCCAGGATGCCCGACACCATGCTGCCCGTCTTCTTCCTCGGCCTGCTGGCCTTCACCTCTGCTTGCTACTTCCAGAACTGTCCCAGGGGTGGCAAGAGGGCCACGTCTGACTTGGAGCTGCGGCAGGTACGCGTGTGGTTCGGTTCAGGGCTGCCTGGAGTGGGCAGTGCCCCAGAACTGGCACTCTGGGGGCAGAGGCAAGGAAGGAGGGAAGTGGTGGGAGAAGGCAGCTTTTGGGAAGTGCCTGGAGGAGGGAGGCTTGGCATGGCCAGGCAGGGTCAGAGGGGGCAGGCTGTAAGGGCCAAAGGGGCTCCAGAAGGGGACGCAGCAAAGTGAGAGACGCTTCCCAGTAACTGAGCTTGGGGCTGGAGCAGGGAGGGCTGAGAGCCCGTCTCTGTGCTCATAGAATCCCCATATCCAGACTGGCTGGAGTATCGGGCTCCGTCCTACCCAGCCCCGGAGGTCTTCCCTGTCTAGCCCAGCCTCTCCTGGACTCAGGCACACACATAGAAGGCGGCCATTACTCGTAACTAGCCTGGGTGGGAGGACGCACCCAAGCATGCCGTAAGGAAGTTCTGCTGGGCACCCTGTCCAGCTCTCCTGTGTTTTGTGTCAGTCAGTTCCCTTTTATTCCATTTCTAGCAGAGCTGAAGGAAATGTAACCACCAGGTTCAGTTCTACCCAAGCCTCAGGTGGTTCAGCTTTGAGCTGTTGAACAAAGAGGGCAGGTGGGCAGCCCCGGGAGCCCTCCCTCCCTCTGCCTGGTTCCTTTGGAGGCTGGAGGTGCCCTAGGCATCCATGCTCTCCTCTAGGGCTCAGGCCCCTGCCGCTCACTTGGTAGTTCATAGTGGGTGAGCAGGGTGTCAGGGCCGCAGTTGAGGCCCACCAGTTTGGGGGTAGGAGAACAAGGGCAAGAGAAGAGACGGGAAATGGGAGGAAGGGCCTAGATGTGTTCTGGATGGGGAGGGCCCTCTGCAGGGGGTGGGGGTCTGGGGATCGACATTCAGTATGGCGGAGGGAGGAAGGTCTGGAATAGGGAAGGGTGGTGGGCAGCTGAGAAAGCCCTGGGCCCTCTGGGCACACCGGCCATGGCTCCAGAGCCGAGGAGGAAGGTCTTCAGTGCTGTGGCCCATCAAGAACTGGCTCCCGACTGAAGGTGAGGATGCTCTGGGCCGTGACCGAGAGCTGGTCCTCTGCCACCTGAAAACCCAAAGCGTTAAGATCTTGACTCCCAGTCCTTGCCTGCTGTCCAGGCCGAGACAGCTCCCCAGCACCTGCAGCGCCCTCGTCCCGCCCATATCCCCAGCCCCCGCTCCGAATCCCTGCGCTGCGCCCTCTTCCCTCAGCTCACCCCGCCCGTTCTGTCCCCGTTCTGTCCTGCAGTGCCTCCCTTGTGGCCCCGGGGGCCGAGGGCACTGCTTCGGGCCGCAAATCTGCTGCGAGGAGGAGCTGGGCTGCTTCGTGGGAACAGCCGAGGCGCTGCGCTGCCAGGAGGAGAACTACCTGCCGTCGCCCTGCCAGTCCGGCCGGAAGCCGTGCGGGAGCGGGGGCCGCTGCGCCGCGGGCGGCTTCTGCTGCAGCGACGGTGCGTACTCGGGACGGGAGGGAGGACTGGGTCCCGGGAGCCACGGGCGCGGCCGCGGGCAGTGGAGGCCCGGAGTGCGCCCACCCGTAGCGCCCGCGCTCACACCGCCCTCCCCGCAGAGAGCTGCGTGACCGAGCCCGAGTGCCTCGAGGGCGTTCACCACCGCGCCCGCCCCAGCGCCCGCAACAACGCCACGCTGCTGGACGGGTCCACCGGGGCCCTGCTGCCGCGGCTGTTTTTTTTTCTGTCGCGTGCGCCGGAGCCCGCCAACCCCGCCGAGCCCCAGCCGGGAGTCTACTGAGCCGCCCGCTTGCGCCCCCTTCATCTCACTCCTGCAGCTCCGAAAATAAACCTTTGTAAATGCACTGTCGGGCGTCGGTCTCAGTCTCTGGCTGTGGGGAAGGCAGAACGCGGGTGGGGAGGCCGACGACCAGGCCAGTCCTGGGACCCGAAGTTGTGGGCAGATCAACCACAGAGAAGGAACTCATCCTGCAGGGGAAGAGATCTTGCGCCTGCTGGTCGTTAGAACCAGGAGTGGGGCTACCCCGGGGGCTGGGGAGGATCAAGGCCAGAAGCAGACTAGGGTGGCGATGCTCTGGCAGAGACAGAGCCATGGGAATTAAGACAGGGAGGGGTAAGGACGCTGGTGGATAAGAGAAGCCGACAGAGACAGCAGAATGAGGGACAGAGACACACAGAGAGCGTGAGAGTGACAAAGAGCAAGAAAGGCAACAGATAAGCCAAAGGGGTGACCATTCTGTTCCCATTTTCATCCCAGGAGACAGAGGCGCTAACAGCTGCAGGGACCCACCCAGGGCCCCGGATTCCCAGTCTAGTGTCTGTTACCCAAGGCCGTGATGTGTGTGTGTGTGTGTGTGTTGGGGGGTCAGTGTCACCCCAGACCCCAGAGACAGTATCATTTGCTATCTGTCCAGGTGCCCCAGCAATAGGACCCCTCAACCACAGGGGGCGGCAGACCTCTCTCCCGCCACCGCCTCCGGGAGCATCCACAGCCCCAACAGACACAGCCACACGTAGCCACTTCCAGACCAAGACACGGACGGGGAGACAGTTGCCAGGGACATGCCTGTGACCGTGAGCACAACCACAAACAGAGTCCCTGAGAACCACATTTGGAACCACAAACACAGAGAAGCACACACAGCAGACAATGATAGGCACACGTATACGCACGTGTGCACTCACCCTTGCTCCCAGACACAAGGAGCTTCTGACCTTTGTCCCGGAACTTCAGAACAAAGATGCCGGTCTGCACCTGGCCTCTGCCCCAACACTCCTGCCTGTCCCCTTAGTCCCCTCTGCCCCTCACTCCCTGCTCCCTGGCCCTCCCGTGCCTACTTGCCTCACTTACCTCTTCTGTTCCTTCTTCCCCTAGATCTCCATTACCTCCCAGCCTCCCCTCCCTGTGCCCTTCCATTCTTTGCATCCTCTCCTCAGAGTTTTCATGCTCCAGGCCTTGGGCCACCAGAGGCTGCATCCCCGTGGGGATCCTCTGCAGGCTCTGAGGCCAGGAGGGAGTGCAGGCAGAGCCTCGTGACTCAGGCGACTCAACCTCAGCCAGCCTGGGCAGAGTCCAGATGCCGCTTGGTCAGCCTCCCTTCCAGTCTCCTCGGCGCCCCCTTCGCTCTTGCCCTTGACCTGGCTCCAGCGGCTTCTGCCAGTGGCAATGCCAGCGACACTCAGTGTAGCTGCGGAAGGCAGCGGCTTCTATCTCTTCTATGGCCACCTGCCTCTGCCCCCTGCCCCCTGTTGCTCATGCAGGGCAGCCCCCAGGTGGGGATAGGGCCAGGGCAAGAGCAAACCCAGAGGAATTTATTAACCCTTCCAGGCAGAGGGAGGTGGGAGAGGCAGGGGCCACGGCTGCATGGGATCTGATCCCTAGTGCTGGGCTTAGGGAGTTTCAGAATGAAGTCCACACCCCTCCTCTTCCTCTGGACAGACTCAGAGACCCCCTTCCTCTTCTGTGTCTTCAGAACACAGGCCACCACATCTGGAAGGAGTGAGTCGTGTCCACCCACCCCCAATTCACACCTCCCTGGATGTTCTACTGTCTCTCCCTTTCCATGAGCCCCTGGGGTCTCTGAGAGGGGAGAGTCCAGGAGTCACAGAAAGTTCTTGCCTTTATCTGCTCAGACTCTTCAAGCAAAAGGGCTGTGGTGAGGGTGACAAAAGTCAGGCAGGATATCCAGACCTCTGTATCTATTTTTTATAAAATGGCAACACTGCTGGTGTAGTGGCTAAGGCATGGGACTCCCACATGGCTGACCATGGTTTGAGTCCCAGACCTGGTGGCTTGCTTTCTCACTCTCCCTCACTCTCTGTCTCTTCTGGTGAACATGCATATCCTGTAGCATATTTAAAAAAAAAAAAAAACTAGAAATGGCAACATCGGCAGTGTCTCTTTAAAATATTTTTAAGTTTATTTATTCATTTCCTTCACAACTGAGGAGACAGAGAGACAGGCATCCCCAGCAAGATCTTGACACTGTGATCCACTCCCGGCTTCAGTCAGTCCAGGTCAAGGACTCTGTCTCTCTCTGTTTATCCGTCTCTCTCTGGTGCGTGCACATGCCCTATGGCAATTAAAAGAGGGGGAAAAAAAACATGAAAAGGTGTATTATGAAAAAAGTTATTCATGGGTTTCCATTGTTTTTGGGGGGGAAGCAACATAAACTCATAGTTTAATTCTGTTTTTCCAGGACTTTTTGAAGTCCCTTATATAACAGTTATACATATTTGTGGGGTACAGTGTGACTTCAAAATGTGTACATTGTGTACGATCAAGTCAGGGCAATAAACATATCCACTGTCTCACTTATCACTACTTTGTGGTGCACATTCAGAACCCATTTCCCTATCAATTTTGAGGAGCAATTGAATGATCACCAATGGTCACTGCCCTACGGTGCTGTTGTACTCTAATGCTCACCCACCTTGTCATCCTGCACTTCTCTATCAGTTTACCAAGTTCTCTCCTCTATTCTCGTCGCTTTCCACCTTCTGCCATGTGATCCACGTTTGAACAAACAGGCGCCACTTTATGGAATTGAATACGATTGGAGCTATGATCTATTTTGAGTTCTGTTTTGTTTTGCCATGGGGTGAACATATTCACTGGAGACAGAGGAGAGGGAAAGTGAGAAAGCACCCCCCGGAGGGGATGGCCACACTGCAGTCCCCTCCTCCACTGGCTCTGGGGATTTAGGGCATGCCTGCACACGGGTCCCTTCCATGCCATCTTCTGGTCCATTCTGTTATTTATTTATTTATTTTTAATTGCCAGAGTGAAGGAGAAAAGCACCTCCCAATGGGGCATAGTCACACTGAAATCCTTTTCCCTCCACTTCTTCATCAGGATTTTGGGCACACACACACACACACACACACACACACACACACACGGCATGTTTTTCAAACCCCTGGGTCCTGGACTTGAACTGCACAGTTAGCCAGGTAGTATCCAGTCACCTTAACAACGATGCCACTGGCTGACCTGGTACTATTTTTATTTAATTTCCAGTTACTTATTGTTAGTATATAGAACTGGGGTTAATTCTATATACAGACCTTGTATCCTGTGATCTTGGCTAAATGTACTTACATTTAATAACTTTTTAAAAGTTTCTTTGGGATTTTCTACATAAACAGTCATTTCACGCTCATAGAGACTTTCAGTTCTTCCTTTTGAATCTCTGTGTCTTTGATTTTTCTAAAAATCCACCTTGTTGCACTGGCTAGGATCTCTTTTCTTTTTTAAGGGGGGTGTGTGTGTGTGTGTGTGTGTGTGTTTGCTATAGGACACGTGTGCTCACCAGAGAGACAGAGAGAGAGGAAAAGTGAGAAACCAGGCCCCAGGGGAGATGGCCAAACCATAATCCCTTCTCTGCCCTTCTCTTCTTGGATTTTGGGTGCACATGCACATGTCTCTCATGTGATTTTGAAGCCGCCCAGTCTGGGACTTGAACCATGGTTGACCTGTGGGAGTCCATTGCTTTAACCGTCACACCGCCTGCTGGCCCTGTCTTCTTTGATTTTTACAGACTACCTGTCTCTTCGGAGAGTGGCACCCATACAGGACCTTGACACTGCAAGCTCCCTCCAGCTCCAGCTCCAACCAGCCCTGACACATCTGGTGCACACCTAGGGAGGTCTCCAGATGCTAAATGGGAACCCTCCCATGTGGTGGGCCTCATAGAGACCCAGTTTTTGTCAGTTCAGTTGGGTTTTGGACTTCAGAAAATTTCTCTTAAGTGTCGAATGCTCTAGCTTCTGCTAGGTCAGGAGGCTGGGGGTGTTTCTACTGCCCTGGAGCCCGCCTTAGTGTCCCCATCCTTCTCCACCCCTTATTGGATGGCAGCAGCAGGAACAATACCCCCAGGCCCCTTGGCACCTGGCAGACACTTCTCTCCTGGTTCCGGAGAGAAGTGGGTCTCTAATTCTGCCCTAGAGACCAGACGCAGGACAAACCCTACATGGTTATCGCCTCCCCAGTGCCCTCCCCTTGTACTTTTATTTTTTTTGAGAGGTTTCTGCCATAGGACGCATGTGGTCTCCAGAAAGACAGAGAGAGACAGAGAGACAGAAAAGAAGTAATCCCCCAGGGGGGATGGACATTCTGCAATCCTTTCTTTTCCATTCTCTTCTCGGGCGCTTGGGCACGCACGCACGCACATGTGCCCAGCGTGAATTTAAGTCACCGGGTCAGGGACTCAAACCGTGGGTGACTACATGGGAGTCTAGCGACATAGCCATTATCCCAACTGCTGGTCCCCCCTCCCCTGGTAATTCTGACACACAGGCACAAGTTGAGTTGTGAAGAAAATTGCCTTTATTTTATTCTTTTTAGGGGAGGCTTAGGAGGACTGAGGGATGCATTCCGTGGGCACCAGCAATCCTCAAGGTGCAGGGCTCAGGGCTCTGAGGAGGCAGCTTTGGCATCACAGGTGGGGTCAGCGCGGCAGCCATCTGCAAAGAGAGGCGTGAGTCAGGGGACCACCCCAGCCGCAGCTCCCTACTTTCTCCCCACCCGCTTCATTCCGCTCACCGGGGCTGCAGCAGAAGCCAGCGTTGGCGCAGCGGCCCCTGCTTCCACAAGGCTTGTGGCCTGACTGGCAAGGGGATGACAGGTAGTCCTCCTTCTCGCAGCTCTTCGAGTAGGTCGGGCCCAGGAAGCAGTCCGACTCATCGCAACAGATCTCAGACCCAAAACAGCGCCCTCGGCCCTCTGGCCCACAGGGGAGGCACTGCGGAGACAGGCACCAGTGAGATGAGGGGAAGAACACTGAGGGGGTCGCGGGGCTCGGACAGAGGGGCTGCAGGCTCTGTGGTGCATTCTCGGCCTGATGGCAGTAAAGGGCCAAGGTTGCAAAATCTCCTGAAATCCCTGGGTTCCCAGGAATGTGTGGTGCAGGCTGGGGACGGGAGCAGCCCTGTGGCTACAGGTCCTCCCTCTCCTGAGTGCAGCAGGATGGAGCTAGGGGGCTCACCTTGCGCACGTCGAGGTCCAGCAGGGCCCTCTTGCCACCTGGGGGGCAATTCTGGATGTAGCAGGCTGAGGTCAGCGCCAGGAGCCCCAGCAGGCAGCAGGCGAGGCTGGAGCTGGCCATGGTGCTGACGCGCTGGATCTGGCTTGGCGACTGCGGCAGTCTCCCTGGCCAGCCTTTGTATGCCTGGACGCTGCCCTGGCCGAGCCCTGTCTAAGAGGGCGGCTGCATGCCTGGTCACAGCAGGTCGCTGCAGGTCAGCCCTTGGGCGCACTGTGCGCCCCCTCATTTGCATGGCCTGGGCCAGGGTCAAGGTCATCGCCTGGGTAATGGACTTGGCACAGACGGTGCTGTGGGGAAGGGAGCAGGCTGGGCTGGGTGGGTCACTAGGCAAGGCACGGAGATGTGGGAGCAGGAGCAGTCCAATCAAGAGCTATTTCTCTGCAGTCCCACTACATCTGGGTGGGGGTGGGGGAGGATGGACACTAGTTCCACCCCTTAAGCAGGAATAGACTCAGGTCAGCCTCCCAGTCCATCCTCTTGGCCTGACCGTCACACGTGCCTGTCCCCTTTGTTAGGAAGATCTCCTGTTCCTGAGTCCAAATTTCTAAATCATTCCCACCCCCAACACACAGCCGCACCACATCCCTGAGCTGGAACTTGGAAAAGAACCGATCACATCTTTCTCTAATCTCTAACTGAAATAAATTCAGCTCTCCTTTGGGTATGAGATATCAAAGAACCATAATGTCAGTGGCTTTGTCATAGATCGAAATGACAGGTATCCTCCTATCCCATTATAGGTATTGCAAATGTCTGTAAATATTCTTTAGATTTATCATTATTTCAAAATGATAGCAGTGATTGGGCCTGCTGGAAGACCTTGCTACCTAATGGCTAAATAAAGGACATTTATGGCAATATCAAAATGTTTTTTTAAAGCTTTAATACCTGAATATAAATATGAAGTGTCTTCAGTACATTCATGGCAATGTGCATCATGAAAAAATTACGCATGAATTTGAAAATGTACTTGCATTGGGACCAGCAGATGGGATGATGGTTATGTCGCCGGACTCCCGCCTAGTTGACTGTGGTTTGAGTCTTGGATCCAGTGGCTTAGAACTCATGCCGGTTGCGTGTGCGTGCGTGCCCAAGATCCTGAGAGGAGAATGGAGGAGAAGGGATTGCGGTGTGGCCATTCCCCCTGGAGGGCGATTTCTCTCTGTCTCACTGGCAAGCACATGCGCCATATAGCAAAAATCTCTCTCTAAAAAAAAGAAAAGAGAAAATACACTTGCATCAAAACAAACTTGTAATTTAATTCTTTTCCACAAAGTATTTGAAGTCCACTCGTATAATTAGTTTCTTTACTAATCCTACATCTTTTGTTTTAGTAACTAAGAACTGTTTTTGGCTCTAATTTCTAAAAGTTTTAGTATATCTCAAAATAAAAGTAATTTAAAACTTCAGAAAAGACAGACTGTCTGTTTGGAGGAGGGTTGGTTAATATTAATGTTATGAACAAGGAAGGAGAGGCCCTGCCCAGATCCCCCATAGACAGGATTCACTAGGCAGCTGGGGACACAGGGTAAAATGTGGTCCTCTATGAGGCTGGCTCTCCAGGGAAGGTTCCAGGTTCCCATCTGGAGACCTCCCTGAGTACACTGGATGGCTCCAGAGCTCCCTGGGGACAGCTGAGGTCCACACTCTGCTCTTTCTGTCCACTCCTGTCTCCATACCCCAGGGTGGTCCCAGGGCCCTCTGTCTCGACCTGCTCCCTGGGAAGCCCAGCCTGCAGAGCTGGAGACCTGGACCTGGTGTGTAACAGACCAGACTTGGCAGGGCAGTTCCTCCCTGTGCACTCCCTCTGCCCGGGAGAGGGCGTGAGACAGCCCCAGACTCTCCTGCCCAATCACTGACTCCCTGGAGGAAGGAGCTGAGGCTAATGAGGTCACACCGGTCTCAGAGTCATGTGACCCCAAGTCACTGACCCTGAGTCACTAGTGTGAACTGTCGTGCACGGAGGAGCTGGTCAGCTCACCTCATTACAGCAGCTGGTTGTTTCCCGCCCAGATTAGCTCATTGGCATTCTGTGGCTGAGCAGGCTGAGGGCTTGACCCCAGCAGTGCCCAGACAGGCCTCCACCCGGCCTGTGCACACTGACCTCCCCTGAGCCAATGCGTGCACACGAATCCCCACAGCCCAATGTCCCCTCTATGGTCATCAGTTCTTTTTAGTTTTTAAATCGAGTCTCATCACAGGGCCATCCTGCCTCAGCCTCCCGACTGGGACATCTGGGATGTAGCTCCACGCCTGGATCTTATTTTTTTGACAGTGTGGAGGGAGACAGAATCCTGGCTCTTCTTTAGACAGGGTGACAGAGTCTCGCTGTGTTGACAAGAGCAGGTTAGAACAAGTCCTGGATCTGGTGGCTTCTTTCTCATTTTCTCTCTCGTTCTCTCTGTCTCTCTTCAGTAAGTGCACATGCTATATAACAAATTAATAATAGCAAATAAAAGAATTCTTTAAAAACAGAACTTAGTCCTCAGACCAGTATTCATAGGTCAGGTCTGACCGGGCTGAGCTGGGTCCCCTGTGCAGGGCCTCCCGAGGCTGCAGTCCAGACCTCACCAGCTGCCTTCCCTTCTCGAGTCGGTGGGGTTGTGGGCAGAATTCATGAATTGCAGTTGTAGAGCTCATGGTTTTTTTCTGGAAGGCCAGAGACAGAGAGGAAGAGTCTGTGCTGCTGAGAAAGGTCTGTGAACACAGGGAAGTACTTGGTCCTCTTTGAAAGGTCTCCTCAGGTAAAGGTCAGGCCCTTCAGGACACCTCCCTTTCCACTAAGAGTCAAAAGCACCACCAAAAGGGGCCTTCGGTACATCTGCACAGCGCCCTCATCTTAGCCAGAGCGTAACTATGTGTGTCGCCTCATCCCTTTGCCGTATTTTCTTTTCTTTTCTTCTTCCTTTATTATTTTTCAGAGGGCACATGTGTTCACTAGAGACACTCACAGAGCCAGAGAGTGTGAGATAGAATCCTCCAGTGGGGTGTGATCTCCCCACAATCTCATCTCCTTAATTTTTCCATCTTGTCTGGATTTGGGTCTGCATGCACATGAGCCTGCCCTGTTTTTCAAGTGCTATAATCCAATTTCCAACTACTTGATTGGCCAAGTGGGATCTGGCTCCCTTAACCACTAGCCCACAGGGCTGCTTTTCATATTTTCGTGCTATAATCCAATTTCCAACTACTTGATTGACCAAATGGGATCTGGCTCCCTTAACCACTAGCCCACAGGGCTGCTTTTCATATTTTCTTAATATTTAGAAAAAGTTTGTGTTATGGCCAGCAGGTGGCAGGGAAAGTAAAGCATTCACAAAGCTAATCTGAGTTTCAGTCTGGATTTGGTGGCTTGTAAATCACTCTGGGTGCATATGCATGCCCCAAATCCAGAGAAGTGAATCTAGGAGAAGGAATAGCGGTATGGCCCTCCCCCATGAGGGGCAATGTCTTATTTTCCTTCTCATTGTGTATCTCACTCCCTCTTAGGCGAGTGCACAAGCTCTACTGCAAAACCTTAATGAAAAAGAAAAAGTTCTGGGTGGGACCAGCAGATGGCGAAATGGTTATGTCACTGTACTCCCATGCAGTTGACCATGGTTCGAACTGGTGGCTTAAAACTCACACTGGGCTCATTTGCATGCATGCCCAAGATCCCAAGACAGGAATGGAGGAAAAGGATTGCGGCCTGGCCATTGCAACTGGGATGCAGTTTCTTCTCTCTCTCTCTCTCTCACTTTCTCTCTCTCTCTCTCTGTCTCTCTCTCTGGTGAGAGACAGGCCGTATACTAAAACTGTCTCTTAAAAAAAAAAAAGGAAAAGAAAAAGTTATGAGTTCATCCAGCGGATGGTATGGTGGTTAAGGCGGCTGGACTCACATGGTCAGCTGCATAGTTTGAATCCCATAGAGGTGTCTTGAAAGAAAACACCCCGGGTGCTTCTGCAAATGTGACTCAAATCCAGAAAGGTGGAAGAGATGAAAGGGAAGGAATTGCAGTGTTTTCATCCCCAGTGTTGGGTTCATCTTCACTTTCCCTCTCCCTTTCTGTCTCTCTAGTACTTCACTAAATTAACAAAACAAAACAAACAAACAAACAAACAAACAAAACAAGGGAAAATGCATAGGTCCTACCCCCCAGCAGTAGGACAAGATGATACAAAGCTATGGTTTGCAGAGCTGGGAATCACAGTGGTGAGATTAGTGGTCTGCCTCAGCATTCTAGGCAGGGGAAATGGCACATGTAAAGGTCCCGAGGCAGGAATGACCGTGTTGTGTCAAGGAATAGCAAGAGGGCCAGTGGGGCTGGAGTGGAGTGACAGAAGTCCAAGGTCAGAAAGGCAGCATAGGACCAGGACACAAAATCCCTTTTACTCCAAATGACACTGTAAAGCAGAGAACATTTGGTGCCAGGTGTAGACAACGTGGACACTGCTATGGGAGACGATGGGGCAAAGGCGAGAGTGTAGATACCAGGTAGGAGGTCATTGCGGCAGTCCTTGGGAGTGGCGATTTGACTCTGGTGTGACTTAAAGGAGGCTTGAGTGGGGGGTTGCTGGTGATTTGGGGTGGGGTGGAGACAAAAGCAGGGGTCAGAGATGACTCTAGGTGTCTGGAATGAGCAGGGGGGTGGATGGAGCTGCCATCAGCTGACCTGGGGACCCTGGAGGCAGCACAGGTTTGAGTTGGGAAGAGGGGGGCTCAGCATGGACACACGTTCGAGGTGCCTGTTCTTATCTGAAGTGAGACTGAGGAGGAGTTTGAACAGACTGATCTGAAGTTCAGGAGGAGGTCTAGGCTGAGGAAACATAAAGCTGGAAATCCTCAGTCTCTGTATTTAAAGGCTGTTCCAGGGCGGGACAGAGGCACAGAGACAGATGGAAGGAACTTTGAAGTTGATTCGAATGGGCAGGTTCCAGGTTCGTGAGCAGAGAGCTCCCTGAGAATGCGGGCCATGTGTGCCCACACCCAGGGCTGGCTGAGGCTGGGCAGGTTACCATGTCAGCACCCTGTTGGGGATGTGCGCTCTCTTTCTTCTCTCTGTTTTTATCTCTTTTCTCTCACTCATGGAAGAAAGAAAGTAAGGAAT